CTGCCCCAATAATATGACTGGCATCAGCGTGAACTACCAAACAGGAAGTAATGAATATTTATGACATGTGATGTACTCAGTCAAACAGGATAATTACACTGGTTTGTATCCAGATTTCTTGAGCGGTGCAAATGCTTTTGAGCGCTCCTCAGCGCCCAGCGACAAATATTTGACAAAGGAGGACTGAGATGTTTAGTGTGCCGGACATCTGTGTGAGATAGAGATGTATTATTCAGTTCTGTGGAACAGCGTTTCATTCTGTTTAAAGCTCAGAGCGGCAGCAGCTGAGGCAGAACACGTGACGCAAACTCCAACACTTTAATTCAATCAATGTTTTTAAAATCTGGTTTGTTTCAACTTCCTGAAGGAATATAAGACAGGAAACTGATTTACTGTCAAATACTGAGTACTAAGAGTAAGCAGATTACCACAAAGTGCTTTGGGGATGGGTAAGACTTGTTTTATTTAAATGATTGAACAGTTAATTATACAGTCATACTTTTATTTTCATTGACAACTAAACATTTTACTTAAAGGTGCACTATGTAACTTTTTCTGATGAAGTGCCACCTGTTTGTAGGAGTGTGAGAGTGGAGTATGACATTAAACTTATCTCCATGGAGACAACTAGGTGACATTGTCAGGCCAGTTAAAGGTCAGGTCTGTGGAGAGGCAAGCTCGCTCACAGTAAGAATGCATGTTTTTCATGATCTTTTTGAGCAATAAAAACATGAATTTCATAAATGCAAGACGCCATGCTGAAAACCATTCCAGACAAAGCAATAAAATTTCCATAGAGACGAGCAGACGGCAGATGGCACATTAGCTCTAACTAATATTATGTAAGGAAGAATTTACTATATGCATATCAAACTCACAGTCCAAAATTTGCTTTAAAACTCAGTATTTCAATTTTGAATATACAAACTGTGATTAAAAAGGATGTTTTAAAAGTTGAATGAATAAATTAAGGATGACAGTAGCTCAACTGGTAGAACATTTGTCCACTAATCCAAAGGTTGGCGGTTTAAATCCCACTCTCGACATAAACATCACTGCAGAGGTCAGATCCACTGACCCACAGGTTGGCAGTGTGATTCCAGCCCCTATAGATGAATGCTGTTGTTGTGTCCTTGGGCAAGACACTTAACCCACCTCACCCCCAGTGTCTGTGTACAGTTGTTGTTCCTTGTTGTAAAGCGCTTTGAGACTTGATAGTGGAAAAGCGCTGAATAAAAATGTGAGCATTTACCATTTAAATTCGATGGATTACTTATTGATTAGTTGTAAATTGTCAGTCACCTATTTGCTGTTCTACCACTAGGTGAGACAACTGTGCTCACATGTGGAGGAGGAATGCATGGAGGGGCTGTCCACAGTCTGGTCCACAGTCTGGTCCAGGAGCCAGTCACCTTGAGTCTTTAAAAACACATTATTCACTTTGGGAGTGACACAGGCTCAGGCCAATTATGATGAGTACAAACCTAAAGGCAAAAGTGCACCGCCTTCTTTGTCCATCTCAGTCTATAGGTTTAGGCACAGTCACACTCAAACCAGGAAGGAGCAGCTAGGACACTGGGCAACACGGATGAGAACTGGTTTATATTAAGATTTACACAACAGGAGGTAAGTCCAATGAATAAGAGGAAGAAAAGACTGAGGGAGATAGTGTTTTGATTATTATTATTATTTTTTTGCATAATAGTGTTGTTCTTTATTATTGAATTATAGATGTTTGTAAGGTGATGGGGAGAAGTCCTAAATGAGAGCCCAACCTTTCACAACACGTCTAGCCTGTGGTGTGTTTGTCTTGTAAATATCTTGGGCTCAGACAAATGGTTTCTGGTGGTTTTTCTAATGTGATTACCGCAAAAACAGAGCTTGTGGTTAGTTTTATGCTTCACATGTTTTTAAAGAGAATATGTTGTTCAATATGCACTTTTATGAGTCTTTAACCATGTTATAATGGTGTTCCCTCATCTTTAGTTTGAGTTCTATTTTGATTCATGCATGTTTGAATAATCCTGTATTGTCCAGCAGTCGAGGTCTGAGTGCTCAAACAATTCCACTGTTTTCACCTATCCCAACAAAAACAAATCCGACTGCAAGTTATTCATGTTTTATTAAAAAAAAAATCCACTTTGACTTATTTCAACAATAAAAACTATGAAAATGTGCTGCCTGCCACAGTGAAATTTCACTATGAAGAGGTGGGGCCCATTAGTTGTGTGGTTTCAATCAGACCTCAGTCCTCAGACCTGTTTCAATTATTCAACTATTTTGGTATTATTATTGCAGTTTACAATGAACAAACTGTAAAGTGAAAAATACCATATCTTCTTTAAAGTCTATGTTGAAATGCCAAGAATCAACAACTCACTTATCCTTCCGTCTGCTGTTTTAACTGTGTTCTAATGCACTTAGGAGGCTGAGAGCTCTTCACATGACATGCATTAAGACAGAGGGCGGGGCTCTCAAGCGGTGGGACTCACATAAAGTACAGGTTCAGTCGACTGTAACTAAATAAACCTGATCTAGATGGAAAAGTACAAAGTGAAAGTTGATCTCACCATAATGTATGTCTCATTTACAAATACTCCAGTATCATCTCCAAGTTTGCCAAAATGAAACTTGCTCGGGGTAGTGAAAAGTAAAAGGTGGGTGTTTGGTAATAAAAGGTGGGAAGGTGAAAACACACACGGTTTCATGATGTTACAAATACAAACATTTTAGGAGATCCTCTAATAACTTGGGAATGACTTGATCCAGTTTTAAAGCAAACAATATTTAGAGCTTGTTTACTGAACAAGGCATTTGGATCCATTTGATACATTATTTAGCACAAGGTGTATTGCTCACTGACACTTTAGTACTATTGTACCTATGAAGAAAACCTCACTTTTTGCTTTAAATCTTTTTGTGCTCAAAACTAAATATAAGTTGTAATTGGCTCTATGCAGCAAACTGGCAAGTGAAATGTTCATTAATAGCCTTTTAAAAGCTCGTCTTTTTGGTTGCCAGTGCTAATATTATGAAGCAGTCTGGAGTCTGGGGCAGAGCCATCAGTTATTTGCAGTTCATGCTATTTTATCTGCTCTCGCAGTGATTCTTATCCACGTAATGTGCTATATAAAGTTAACCTACTTATAGAAATGAGCGTATAGATGTTTATTGATAGCACTTAGTAAATAGAGCTCCTGTTTAAAACAGATCTACATGTGTTCCTTCATTTATCTTGTCAAATCATTTGTGTAACAAGTTTAAAGGTGGAAGCATTAAAGCGCCCATATACGATATTTTCTGATCAATATTCTAATGTTGTTTCCTCATCACTAACCTACGCTAGACCTGGAGTTGTGGTTGTTTCATTCACATGTTTAACACATAAATCAAACTTTTCAGTTTGACACTCCACCTTTAAAAACACAGTGTGCTCCACTGTGTTTTTAAACACCACACACCTTCTCTAGAATCATTTGAATAATTTCAGCTCCTGAATTGCCAATCTGCTGAACAAAAGGTAAAATGTAGCTGTTAACATTTAAAGAGGTGGAACAGAGCATTTTGAGCTTTACAGTTGTAGACAGACTAATAAGAAACAGTTACTCAAACATGTGTGAATGAAACAAAGCTCCAGGTCTGTTTTTGACGAGGTAACATCATTCAAACACGACTTCAAGCTCAAAGAGTCAGTTTAGTGTCATATAAGACCTTTAAGTGGCAGAAGTAGTGAGGAGTCCCAAATCAAATGGCTGACACTGAGGGTGATGATGGTAATAGAGATGTGACTAACCAGGTTGATGGGAGGCAGATGTTGCTGTTTTGGGCGCTGCTCTGGGAGGCTGCAGCGGAGCCTAATGTGAGATCGATGCAGTGGATCACTTAACGGTGGACGCAGGCAGTCGGTCCCTGGAGGAATTACTGCCAGGAAGAACTCTAAATAGTCTCATCACTGGCTCCACTGTCTTCACAACAAGAGACAGGAGAGAGAGAGGGCTGCACGGTTCACTGGGGGCACAAGACACACAAATGAGATTAAAATTTAAAGTCACCTTTTATCTGAATTTAACCTCTGACAGAACAAAGTAATGCATATTGTACTCTATGTACACTGTGGTGTACAAAAATTGGTGTTAGTCTTTCAAACTAATTTATTTGAGTGATTCGATTTTTTAGAAGTGGAGGCAATATTTATAATTTTTTGTCCTAGTTTTAGCCCAGTTGGAGACAAAATGTAGACTTGATTTGGTCTTAGTCTACTGCTGGTTTAGTCCTGGTCTAGGCCAGATCTACTTGTGGGTTTTGTTCTAGTTTATTCCTAGTTTTGATGTGGTGATTGTTAGGGGTGTGTAAAAATACCAAAAATATCGATATATCGTATCGTTTAATGTGCCGATACAGTATTGATATTGTGGGCTGCTGTATTGATATATCACCAAGAGTATTTTTTGGTTTATTTTACTCAATAATTTTGTTACAGCTACAGTTTTGTTAACTGTTCAAAGGAAGAAAAATCATTTATGCAACACATTTGACATTTTCACTGTTTTAAGGATTAAAATAGTTGTTTCATTTTAACTTTGCACAGGAAGTGGTTTAACAAAGACTTTTAGTGTCTCAGCCAGGATTTAGCCTTTATTTTTTATGAATCGTATCGAATCAATTTGAAATATATCGTACTCAATCAAAAGCTCACTGTATGGAGATATGTATCGTATCGTGGCACATGTATCGATATATATCATATCAGCAACTTCTTAATGTTGCCCAGCCCTAGTGATTGTGCAAGAATGAACACATCCAAAGTTCCACAGTCCAGGAACTGAGCAAGGATCAATTTACTGTAAGACAAAAGTGCCAAGCTCACGGCTGTACCTTACTGCCCAGTCCCCAGGGATTACAGATATATATGTGATAATATTTCACTGATGTATGCGTTTGAGCGTCTTTGAAACATTTTGTTCAAATATCTGTCTGCTGTTTTTTGTGTTTTTGAACAGGTGCTGGCCGCAGACTGAGAGGTCCAGAGCCTGGAACAGAAGACAATTCAGTAAGAACTAACCTTTCCCCCCTAGTCAAAGTGTTCTTCTTGACAAATTTAATATTACAAATTTAATCTAATCAAATTCAATGATCAGTGAAGCGGCAGTATTCCACATCTTTGCTGCAGACCCCGGAATAGACCATATCTGACTCTGTATTTATCATTGTGCTGTCTCCTTTTACAGTTGAGCCTTGCATTTCATTAGGTGGCTGTCACTTGGAAAACACTGCTTCCTTCTGGCAGCGTCAAATGTGTTAGAATATTAAATCATTTAATCATTCGAAAAATACAATTCGCGTGTGTCTGAATCCCACTGCAGAACACTGAACAGTTGTTGGGATATTTTACTGTGAATCCACTGAACAACAGACAGGTCTGAGCTGCCAAACCTACCATTGATTTAAATGTGACGTTTATCGAGTGCCAGGCAGCGATTCTGTCTTTGGCTCCTCTCTGTGTTTCTGCACATTTATCAATCCAAATTTCAGTGAACTGTGGTTAGAGGAGATAGATAAACAGCTAAGAAAACTGGAAATCATAAAATGCAGGTACTGCCTCAAATCATTTTGCATAATTATGTTATGCATAGAAGGTCTCAGTCACTTTGCAAGTCAAGATCAAGTCAAGCTTCAATAGTTTGCTAAATGTTTCTTCCTGCTTCCTCCATTTCACACAGTTCACTATCCTGTTAAATTATTATTATTTTTAGTTCTAGAAGTGGTATAAGTTAAACACTAAGCTCTTCTTAAATTAGAAGTTCAGATGCCAGTGTGTACAAGGACAAATGTATGTTAGGTGTTAAGAAAACTGCAGTTGCTGATCATCTGGAAGAGGTGATGAAGATACATCTAGTTACATAATGATGATACACAGTGCCTATACACACGACCTACTCCTGTCACTGTTGGGAGGAAACAGTAATAAAAAGGAGAGTGTTGTAAATAAACCTGTTGTGGTTGCAGATATGTGACGAGGCGTCTCAGTTCACGGAGGGAGAGAGGCCACGCCCACAAGGATCGTCCCCTGTCGAAGAGTTTCCTGAATCCGACAAATACGACAGTGACAAAGAGGTAGCGAATTACAACACATACAAATTCTGAAAGTACTAATGGACTGACTGAAGTATACAGTATGTTGGCAGATCTATTTAGCATACTTTACTGAATTCACCTGCTACAATAAAAATAAATGTAACCTAAACTAACAAGATTTTTTTTGCATGTGCACACTATGAAGTTACATGTACATTCAAGAAATAATGTGACCAATTTTTCCCTATTCACCTGCAGTGTCTCGCTTTAAATTGTATTTTTGCACAGGATATATTATAACTGGACACACAGTCATTTGTATTCTATTGTTTAGCTCCCCTTTTTGAGTTTCACTACATAGCAAAAGTAATTTACATATTTCAATTTTTGCCGAATAACAATTGAGATTATCTTGTTGTTAGTGTGAAGCAGAGCATGACCCTTATCGAAAAAGTGGAAAGAAAGCGAAAAAGTCTGGGCTGGGATCCATCTTTGACAAACGCTCGACTCCGAAGATGAGCAAACTGAAGGTGAGACACTCCTCCGGGCTCCGCGTCTCCACAGAGCAGCTAAAGGTGACAGCAGGATGTGTGTGTGTAACTGCAGGAGGCCCCCAGCAGCCCTGAAGCAGGAGTCATAGTGAAAACAGCCAAAGATGGAGGAGCAGAGGGTCTGGTGTACAGCGGAGGAGGCAAAGATGGTATCTTTATTAAGGAAGTAGTACCAGAGTCACCAGCTTCCAAAAATCTGCATCTCAAAGAAGGTGAGTTATGTAACAAAAATAAAAGCAAAACGTTGTGTGATTGTTTGTGTCTGAGTGCTTTCGGAGGGTCACATTATCTGCATATTTATGGAAAAACTGTTTTTGAAGTGCTTAGTTTAACTTTGAAAACAAGAACACCATTTTCTTCCTTTGTTTTAGATGAAAACAAATGCAAATTATTTGAATCAATTTAAGCATCCCTTCAGCATTTTGTCAAGATTCTCTTTTTTACGTTTGTTTTGTACAATAGATAAATGTATTACAAATGCACTGCCTATCTGTGGGTTTTACAGTCATGTAAAATGAACACCGCTCCCCTGACAAATCTAAACTAAATATTTTATCATTTGAATGGTAAAGTTCTCAAAATGGTGTCTATAACTAGGGTTGTTATATTGAAAATCAGATACTAATCAATACTAAAACTAGTATTCAAACTAGATACTCTTTTGAGCAGATATTGATACTAAAAAAATCACATTGACAGGACAGAAATGAACCTTTCCTGAATGTCTTTAGAATGATGTTGCGCTGTATGAGAACTAGCAGAAGAGCACATAGACTAGTACACACACGGACACTATGAAACTACTGCACCACTGACCATTACACACATATAACACACATCATTCTGTTTTGCTTAGTGACAACACTACTATAAAAAGCTGAAATCCATGAATACTGCACACCTAAATGTATTGAATACACAATAACTGTGTATTCAAATGTGTCTGTTTCTTTTTTGCTTTTGCAGGTGACCAGGTGCTGAGTGCCACTGTGTATTTTGACAACATACCGTATGAAGATGCCATACAAATTCTGGAGCATGCCCAGGCTTACAAAGTCAAACTCTGCTTAAAACGCAAACCAGAAATCAGTGAGACCGAAGGAGCCATCGATTCAGACGCCATCCCTGTAACTATTCTTGTGTCTTCTTATATTCACTGAAAGTAGGGGTGGGCAATATTGACAAAAATATCATATCGTATCTCTCTCTCTCTTTTTTTTTTTTTTTGCATTATTGATCACAATATTCAAGTAATACTTTAACAACGCATCACGAATGTGCTAAAATGTGCTCTGGTTGGAGACAGTGTTGCCAGATTGGGCGTGTGCCTGCCCTGTTGGGCTTCTTTTGACTTTGTCGGTGGGGAGGGGGAGCCTTATGTACGCAGATAATATTTGGGCTACTTTCAACAAGTTTGATCTTTTTTTTATTTTCACACCAATCAACACAATCGCACAGATGAACGGACGTCCACTATGTTCAGACCTCCCTGGTGTTCAGCTGTTGCACAGATTCAGTTCTTCGACGTCTGAGTCTCAGGCTCTGTGTTTGCAGCTGTTCTTGCTGTAGCCGACAATTGATGATTTTCATTTTTATGCGTGATGAAAACACTGTTCTACATTTTACCAAATGGTTTACAGAACATGGTTTCTTAATACTGACAATGCTTTGAAAAGCCAGTAGATTACATTACAACATATTTGATCAAATATTAGGCTAAATGACTTTTTTTCTGTGATACATGAAAATACTGTTTTCTCAATGTTTCTCAATGTTTTTTAAAAACGTCACAATGGATTACATACATTTATTTAAAGATTACATGCTTTCGGTGACAAAACATTTGTTGGGTGTTTTTTTTGCTGAAGAGGACGGGTTTTTGAATGTGATTGGACAGAGATCACTAAACTCGATCTGGCAACACTGACTGGGGGTCAGTTACTGCACAAAATGTAAATAGATCATACAACCAGAAAAGTGCAGAAATATGATGCTATTTGGGAGCTTATACTAGATGTTTCTGCTCATTTTATTTTTATTCAGCTGTTTTTGCTGCAGTTTTTAGTGCTTTAATTTGTAAACAAAATCCTCAGTATTCTGATCACAATATTAACAACTTTTTTATATATTGCCCACCCGTAACTGAAAGCAATATTTCAAGATAATAATCCCATTGTACGTTTCTGTCTATAGGAAGATGAAGTACACCAACCAGAGATGAGGGAACCAGGGAAAAAACGAAGAGGAGACGCCCGTATATCATGGCCTAAGTTTCCAACACTGGGCAGAGGCAAAAAGTCACGGTTTACGAGGTCACACAGTTCATCAGAGGCCGATGAGCAAAGAAAACTTGAGCTGAGTCCAACCACAAGTGACACAGAATCTCCGATAAAAACTCAAGATGCTCTCAAGGGCAAGAAGAAGCATAAGATAAAACTCCCTGGGTTGAAGAGAGGGAGGATCAGTTCATCCGAGGACACAGATGCGCAAAATATTCAAACAGAGGAAATGATTTCACCCGAATGCCTGGAAAGCCCGTCAAGAGAAACACAAGATGCAGAAGAGGAGCTGAAAAAGGATGACGATGTAAAAGTCGAGGAAAGTGAAACCGAAACTCATAAAACAGAACTGGTTTGTTTAGACAGTACATTGAAAACTGCAGATATCACAGAAGCATTGGTGGAACAAGAGACTCCGTCTGCCACTGCGTCCCCAGATGGTAAGAAGAAGAAGAAAGAGCGTTCTGAGCTAAAGCTGAAGATTCTAGGAAGAGATAAAAAACACAAAGCAAAGTCTTCGCCTAAAAGGTTAAAAACTCTCGGAGCAAGTTTGGACAAAACAGATGATAAGGAAAATGAGAAAACAGAGGCAGTTCCCAGCGGTGCAACAGAAAACATTATGGATGCTGAAGTCCCAAAAATGACTTCGAGTAAATCAGGTCAGTTGGAGTTACGTCTTCCAAAAGTTGAAATTGATATCTCTGACGTCGGGATTATATGCAAATCTAATGACAAGAAAGGAAAAGGCACAGAGGAAAAGCAAGCAAAGACAGGATTCAAACTGCCTAAAGTTGGTCTAACTGACATTGCAACTGAAGACATCATAAAAATAGATATGAGTGTTGAAGGAAGCAAGACTAAGGACAAAAATGATGCATATGACAGGCTTTCAAAAGGCACTGAACTTCCAAAACGTGAAGACATTGAAATTCCAGGTATGGAGGATGCTTCAAAGATAACAAAGGATTTCAAGGAACCAAGAGCCCCTTTGGCGACTATTTCTGATGCAGAACTCCAAGCAGAAACTGTTCAGCTGTCCATAGATGTGGACAGTGTCAAAGAAGCTGTGTCAAAGTTGCCTGGGTATAAACTGCCAAAAGTCGACATGTCTGGAGTACCAATCCCAGATGAAATTACTGTGATAGACGCCAATGCCCAAAGAATATCAGTCAAAACGCCAACTAAAGGTAAACACGAATCAAAGTCTGTCTTCACAGAAATGTCAAAAACAATCAAACTACCAGCTGTCAAAGTTGATGTAAGTGGAGGTGAGATGGAATCAGAGACTAAACTGGGAGTGAAGAAACTCGAACTGGACTCCAAAGATGTAGTATCGACAAAGGCAATCATTTCTCAAACAATAGAGGTTGAAAAGGTGCAAAAGGAATCCATTACATTTTCAAGTGAATCGGTGGAAACGTCAAAAAATTTTGACATCAAGATAAAAACACCTAAAGTGACCATGCCTGATTTAAGTATTTCAAAACCAGACATTAAGATGCCTGATTTGAAAATGGATTTGACAAAGAAGAAGGATGACAAGGTACATGTGGAAAGAACGATATTTCTGCCAGGAGATAAAATTGATGTCAAAGTGCCGGATGTGAAAACGTCACCTATCAAAGCTGAATTTGAGATCCCAAGTAAAGAGACTGATGTTAAGTTGAAGCTGGAGAGTGAAGAGGTTAAAGTCCCAAGTGTTAAGGGTGAAGTAAGTGTTGGGGGGGTAGAGATAAAAATGCCTGAAAAACAAGAAAAAGGTGAGAAATTTAAAATGCCAACTGTTGGAATCACTGTGCCCAAAGTGAAAGGAGGTAAGGCTTCAGGGGTGGATACTGGTGGAACTGTAGATGTGTCTCTTCCAGATGTGGCGGTCGACAAGCCTAAATTAGAATACAAATCACCCCAAATTGAAACTGACAAAGAGGCTAAATTTGGGATCAAACTGAAAAGCCCTGAAGTAAGTCTGACAAAGAAGGACATTGACGTCACTCTGCCTGAGGGAAAAATTGAGGTTGATGTGACAAAGCCTGCAGGTGACCTAGAAGCTCAAGGAGGGAAATTTAAACTCCCAAAACTTGGTCTTAAAATGCCCAAAATGAAAGGCCCAGAGATGGATGTGAGTGTTTCAAATGATGTCGATGTCAATCTACCAGATGTTAAGGCCAAGGTAGAACTGCCAGAAATACCTGCAGTTGATGCAGCTGTTGGAGAAGTAAAGCTGTCAATCCCAGAACAAAAGGTAGATGTGAAAGCTCCATCTATTGAAGTTGATATTGAAGGAGGCAAGTTTAAAATGCCAAAGCTTGGTGTTAAAATGCCCAAAGTAAAAGGACCTGAAATTGATATAAGTTTGTCAAAGAAAGACATGGCACTACCAACAGCTGATGAACCAAAGATAGATGTTTCAAGCCCAGAGAAAAAGATTGAGGTAAAAACTGAAGGTGAAGTTGATGGGCGAGGAGGCAAGTTTAAAATGCCAAAACTAGGAATCACAATGCCAAAAATGAAAGGGCCTGAAATTGACTTAAATCTCTCAAAGAAGGATGTTGAAACAACTCTTCCTGAAGTCAAAGCTGACATTAAAGTGCCAGATCTTAAACTTAAGGATTCGTCCGCCAAGGTTGACATATCAACACCAGAAATAGGTGATGTAAAACTGAAAGCTGAGGCTGAAATTGATTATGTTGACCCTTCTTTATCTGTAAATGTAGGGGAAGCAGATGCAAAAGCGGGCAAGTTTAAAATGCCAAAGTTTGGAATATCTATGCCTAAAGTAAAAGGACCTGAAATTGACTTTAACCTATCAAAGGAACATAAAGAACCAGCAGATATTAAAGCAGAAGTGAAGGTACCTAAAGTTGACATCACTGTTGGTAAAGTTGATGTTCCAAAGGCTAAAATTGAAATAGAAAAAACAGGTGTTGAAATAAAGCCATTTGAAGCCAAGTTGGATATTAAAAAACCTGAAGTCAAATCACCAGAAGAAAATGCAGAAGTTGAAGGACAAAGTAGCAAGTTTAAAATTCCGAGGTTTACTGTCTCCATACCAAAAGTGAAAGGACCAGAAATTGATTTAAGTTTACAAAAGAAAGAGATTGATGTAGCATTACCAGAAGCAAAAATAGAAGTTGAACAGCCAAAAGCTCCAAAAGTTGATGTGGAGGTGAGATCGCCAGAAATGGATGTTGATATTGAAGGACAAGGTGGAAAGTTCAAGTTACCAAAGTTTGGAATTAAAATGCCAAAAGTTAAAGGACCAGAAATTGATGTCAGTCTTCCGAAGAAAGATGTAAAATCACCAGAAATAAAAGCAGATATCAAGGTTCCTGAGGTCCCAAAAGTGGATGTAAGTCTTGAAAGTAAGGCAGATGTTAAAATCTATGAAGCAAAGATTGAAGTTGAGAAGCCTACTGTTGACGTAAAACCACCGTCTGGTAAAATAAAAATTAAAGCACCAAAAATTGATGTGTCAGTCACAGAAGACTCGCCATCCAAATTTAAAATGCCAAGTTTGGGATTCTCAGTGCCAAAAGTGAAAGCACCAGAAGCTGATCTTTCAAAAAAGGATATAGATGTGACCCTACCAGATGCCAAGGTTGAGGTTGATTTTCCTGATATATCTGGAAAGGCTGACGTGAAAGCCCCAGAAGTAGAAGTTAGTACTAAAGGTTCTCCTTTAAAATTCAAAATGCCTACATTCAAATTACCAAAGTTCGGAGGTTCAATTGAAGAAAAAGATTCTGAGATCAAAATAGAAGGGGGTGATCTGACAGTTTCAGTTCCACAGGCTGATATTGATCTGCCTAAAGTCAGTACAGAAGTAACTCTACCAGAAGCTGAAGTCAAAGCCCCCTCAGGTGAAGTGTTGATAGAACAACCATCAGGTTTAGAGATAGATGCAAAATTTAAGAAGCCAAGATTCTCAATGCCTCGCTTTTCCTTTTCCAAACAAAGTGTGCCAGCTCCAGAGGTTGATATCAGTGCTCCAGAAGTAGATATTCCACAACCAGAAGGAAAAGTGGAAGTGAAAGGAGAAATAGATGTGAAATCCCCAGAACTTGATGTTCAAATTGATGGTCAAGGAAGTAAATTCAAACTGCCAAAGTTTGGAATCTCGATGCCAAAGATGTCGGCACCTGAAATAGATCTGAGCTTGTCAAAGAAAGATGTAGAAGTGACTCTACCAGAAGCTAAAGTTGAAGGTAAACTCCCTGATGTTGAAGTGAAATCACCTTCAATTGAAGCAGAAATCAAAGCTCCAGAGATAAAAGTTGAGACTAAAACAAAAGAAGGATCACCATCAAAACTAAAGATGCCCACATTTAAATTTCCCAAATTTGGAGTATCAATTCCAGAGGCAGATGTGACCATTTCAGGGCCACAGTTAGATGTTGAACTACCTGATGTCAAAGCTGAGATTCATGTACCAGAAGTTGAAGTCAAAGCTCCTTCAGCTGAGGTGGAAATTGAGCAACCATCTGGTTTGGAGATGGATGCAAAATTTAAGAAGCCAAGATTCTCACTGCCTCGGTTTTCCTTTTCCAAACAAAGTGTGCCAGCCCCAGAGGTTGATATCAGTGCTCCAGAAGTGGATATTCCACAACCAGAAGGAAAAGTGGAAGTGAAAGGAGACATAGATGTGAAATCTCCAGAGGTTGATGTTCAAATTGATGGACAAGGAGGTAAATTCAAACTACCCAAGTTTGGAATCTCGATGCCAAAGATGTCGGCACCTGAAATAGATCTGAGCTTATCGAAGAAAGATGTAGAGGTGACTCTACCAGAGGCCAAAGTTGAAGGTAAACTCCCTGATATAGATGTTAAAGCACCTTCAATTGAAGCAGAAATCAAAGCTCCTGAGATAAAAGTTGAAACTAAGTCAAAGGAAGGATCACCATCAAAACTAAAGATGCCCACATTTAAATTTCCGAAATTTGGAGCTTCCATACCAGAAGCTGAAATTAAGGTTGATGGAATCGATATATCAAAGGTAGATGTCGATCAACCTGATGTTAAAGCAGAGATTAATCTACCAGAAGTTAAAGTCAAAGCTCCTTCAGTTGAAGTAGACGGACAAGGAGGTAAATTCAAACTGCCGAAGTTTGGAATCTCAATGCCAAAGATGTCCGCACCTGAAGTTGATCTGAGTTTGTCAAAGAAAGATGTAGAGGTGACTCTACCAGAAGCCAAAGTTGAAGGTAAACTCCCTGATGTTGAAGTGAAAGCACCTTCAATTGAAGCAGAAATCAAAGCTCCAGAGATAAAAGTTGAGACTAAAACAAAAGAAGGATCACCATCAAAACTAAAGATGCCCACATTTAAATTTCCCAAATTTGGAGTATCAATTCCAGAGGCAGATGCGACCGTTTCAGAGCCACAGTTAGATGTTGAACTACCTGATGTCAAAGCTGAGATTCACGTACCAGAAGCTGAAGTTAAAGCTCCTTCAGTTGAGGTGGAAATTGAGCAACCATCTGGTTTGGAGATGGATGCAAAATTTAAGAAGCCAAGATTCTCACTGCCTCGGTTTTCCTTTTCCAAACAAAGTGTGCCAGCCCCAGAGGTTGATATCAGTGCTCCAGAAGTGGATATTCCACAACCAGAAGGAAAAGTGGAAGTGAAAGGAGACATAGATGTGAAATCTCCAGAGGTTGATGTTCAAATTGATGGACACGGAAGTAAATTCAAACTACCCAAGTTTGGAATCTCGATGCCAAAGATGTCTGCACCTGAAATAGATCTGAGCTTATCGAAGAAAGATGTAGAGGTGACTCTACCAGAGGCCAAAGCTGAAGGTAAACTCCCTGATGTTGACGTTAAAGCACCTTCAATTGAAGCAGAAATCAAAGCTCCGGAAATTAAAATTGAGACTAAAACAAAGGAAGGATCACCATCAAAACTAAAGATGCCAACTTTTAAATTACCTAAATTTGGAGCTTCCATACCAGAAACTGAAATTAAAGTAGATGGAACTGATGTTGGGCAGGTACATGTTGACTTACCTGAGGTTAAGGCAGAGGTGCATCTACCAGAGGTTGAAGTCAAAGCTCCTTCAGTTGAGGTGGAAATTGAGCAACCAACTGGTTTGGAGATGGATGCTAAATTTAAGAAGCCAAGATTCTCACTGCCTCGGTTTTCCTTTTCCAAACAGAGTGTGCCAGTCCCAGAGGTTGATATCAGTGCTCCAGAAGTGGATATTCCACAACCAGAAGGAAAAGTGGAAGTGAAAGGAGACATAGATGTGAAATCTCCAGAGGTTGATGTTCAAATTGATGGTCAAGGAAGTAAATTCAAACTGCCCAAGTTTGGAATCTCAATGCCAAAGATGTCCGCACCTGAAGTTGATCTCAGTTTGTCAAAGAAAGATGCAGAGGTGACTCTACCAGAAGCAAAGGTGAAGGCCACGGTCCCTGACACTGAAGTAAAAGCACCTTCCATTGAGGTAGCAGTTAGCGCCCCTGACATCAAAGTAGAGACTAAGACAAAGGAAGGATCACCATCAAAACTTAAGATGCCCACTTTTAAATTACCTAAATTTGGAGTTTCCATACCTGAAGCTGAAATACATGTTGATGGACCTGATGTGGCTACAGAACTCCCACAAGTAGACACTGACCTGCCTGAAGTCAAAGCAGAAGTACAGTTACCAGAGGTTGAGGTTAAGGCTCCTTCAGGTGAAGTGGTGATAGAACAACCATCTGGTTTGGAAATAGATGCAAAATTTAAGAAGCCAAGATTCTCAATGCCTCGCTTTTCCTTTTCCAAACAAAGTGTGCCAGCTCCAGAGGTTGATATCAGTGCTCCAGGAGTGAATATTTCACAACCAGAAGGAAAAGTGGAAATGAAAGGAGAGATGGACGTAAAAGCCCCAGAACTTGATGTTCAAACTGATGGACAAGGAGGTAAATTCAAACTACCCAAGTTTGGAATCTCGATGCCAAAGATGTCGGCACCTGAAATAGATCTGAGCTTATCAAAGAAAGATGGAGAAGTGACTCTACCAGAAGCTAAGTTGGAGACCAAGGTTCCTGATGTTGAAATGAAAGTACCTTCAATTGAAGCAGAAATCAAAGCACCAGAGATAAAAGTAGAGACTAAGACAAAAGAGGGATCACCATCAAAACTAAAGATGCCCACATTTAAATTTCCAAAATTTGGAGCTTCCATACCAGAAACTGAAATTAAGGTTGATGGAGCAGATGTGGCTGCTGATATACCTGATGTTAAATTAGAAATCAGTTTACCTGAGACTGAGGTTAAAATTCCCTCAGGTGAAGTGGTGATAGAACAACCATCTGGTTTGGAGATGGATGCTAAATTAAAAAAGTCGAGATTCACACTTCCTAGATTTTCCTTCTCCAAACAAAGTGTGGCAGCTCCAGAGGTTGATATAAGTGTTCCAGAAGTTAATATACCAGTAGAGGAAAATGTTGAAGTGAAAGCAGAAATAGATGTAAAATCTCCTGAAGTTGAAGCTCAAGTTGATGGACAAGGAAGTAGATTTAAATTTCCTAAGTTTGGAATCTCTATGCCAAAGATGTCAGGACCTGAAGTTGATCTAAGTTTATCAAAGAAAGATGTAGATGTGACTTTACCAGAAACAAAAGTGGAGGGTAAACTACCAGGTGTTGAACTAAAGGGAACTTCTGTTAAAGGAGAAATAAAAGGTCCAGAGATACAAGTTGAATCAAAACATACAGATGATTCCCCATCAAAACTGAAGATGCCCAGTTTCAGAATGCCAAAGTTTGGATTGACCACAAGTGTTTCTGCAGATGGAGCAGACATTAAAACTGATATTCCTGAAGAGGTTCTGACAGTTCAAACTGATAGCTCATCTGTGGATATAAAAGTGTCAGAGCCTGAGGTGAAGAGAAGCAAGTTTAAGCTTCCAAGTCTAGGTTTCTCAACCTCAGGTACTGATGTCTCCCTAGAAAAGAAGGACATGCAGCTTCCAGATGTTGAAATTAAAGAAAGCCCAGCTAAAGTGGATATCAAAGTATCTGGAATGGATGAAAGTAATGTAGAAGTCTCACCCTCCAAGTTTAAGATGCCAACATTTAAACTTCCCAAATTTGGAGCTACGGCGCAAATCGACGGAGAGGTTCCTGACGTGGACACAGGCATAAAGGTTGATGTAAATGTTTCAAAGAAAGACGTAGAAAGTGAAAAGCCAGAGGCAAAAGAGGAGTCCAAGGCCAGTTGGTCTTTGCCAAGAATATCATTTTCAAAGCCAAGTGTGGCAGCCTCTGAAATTGAGGCCAAACATGAGGTGCAGTCCCCAGAGGGTAAAAAATCCATCACTGTCACTGTGGAAGGAGAACCAACTTCTGAGATTGATTTAAAAATAAAGAAACCAAGATTTTCATTACCCAAAATCTCATTTGCAAAACAACCCAGTATAGAATCTGAAGCTGATGCAAGTCTACCTGAAGTGGAGGTGTCTTCTCCAGCAGTAACAGTGGAGGTCAAACAATCAGATGTAGATCAAAAGATAGAAGGTGAAGTAGATGCTCAAGGAAGCAAGTTTAAAATGCCCAAATTTGGCATTTCTATGCCAAAAGTCAAAGGACCTGAAATTGATGTGAGCATTTCAAAGAAAGAAGCCAAGGCAGATGTTCCTGAAACTAAAGCCCCATTAAAGGTAGAAGAATCACCAACAAAATTTAAAATGCCAACTTTAAAATTACCCAAACTTGGTTTAAGCGTGGAAGCTTCTGATGCAGAAAAGGATGGGCCGGGTGCGGAAACTACAGCTAAAACTACCACAGATGTTGAGAGTAAAAAAGAACACACAGGATCTAAGTTTAGTTTTGGTATTTCTATGCCCAAAGTAAAAGGGCCTGAAACTGATTTGAGTTTGTCAAAAAAAGATACTGGCATAACCTCCCCAGACGCCAAGGTTGAGACCACACTCCCTGAGACAGAAGACGTTTCATTAGATGCTAAACAAAAAGGTGCTTCCTGGTCATTTCCAAAATTTTCATTTTCTAAGCCAGCAGTAAATGTAACTGATGAAGCAGATTTCAGTGTTGAACCTGACTTGACTACAGAGGCTGCTCCAGAGCTTGAAGTCAAAGCGCCTTCAGTTTCTGCAGAAGATTCCCCAGCAGCTGAGCCTGAGATAAAAGCGAAGTTCTCACTACCGAAGTTCTCCTTTTCCAAGTCATCTTCTAAAGAGCCAATAGTACCTGAAAATGCTGTAGCCCTTGAAGTTTCACTTGCAGAAGGAGAAGTGAAAATAAAAGAACCTAAAGATGTGACTGTAGAAGTAAACTCTCCAGAAAATGATGCTAAATCCAAAGAGATTGGAGGAGGATCACCCCTAAAGTTTAAAATGCCTGTTTTCAAAATGCCAAAAATAGGAATTACAACAACAGTGAATGACGAATCAAGTAGCATAAGTAAAGACACAGAGGAGACAATAAAAATGACTAAAGAAGGCGGCACTGTTGTCATCACAGCAGGGAGTCCATCGATAGAAGTGAAATCAGAAGGTATGGAATTCAAAACTGATGTAACTAAAGCATCAACACCTGATCCTGAAGCTCCACAGGCTGAGACTCAAGGCTCTCCAAGTAAATTCAAGTTACCCTCATTTAAAATGCCAAGGCTCAGTTTTTCTAAAGCTGCACCTGAAGATGAAAATACCCCAGTTGATTCTAAAATTGATGAGGATCAACTGGAGAAGGATTCAAAGGAAGAAAGTAAATCACCAAAGAAATCCCTAACATCAATTGGAGAAATTCTAAAAAATATAGATGTGGAATTTGATGTTACAAATCCGGAAAATGTTGAAGCCCAAAAGGAACAAGAAGTAATCAAAATGGAAACAAAGCAAGAGGCTACTAAGAGTCCTGAGAGAACGGGGTGGTTTAAATTTCCCACATTTGGATTATCTTCACCAACAGAGAGAGTAAAGGAAGACAAAAAGAGTCCAGATTTAACAGGCAATGAGGAGTTAAGCCCAACGTGTTCCATCCAGTCGTCTGAAGCTTTTGCTGACATTAGCTCAACAATGACCAGTGAAACTACTGGCTTTTCTTTATCATCCCCAACAAAAGTAACAGTTAAATATTCTGATCCTGACACTGCTGCACTGATGGGAGAATCACACTCAAATGTAGTCATGTCCACAACCAAAACAGAGGTGGTTTCAGTGGAGCCCAACTTACCTGAGAAAGTTACAATTTTATCATCAGGACAGTCCTCGTCATCTGAAGATACAGTCAAACTGGAATCTGGAAAAATCCACATAATCTCATCAAATATACAAGCCACTCCAGGTTCCCAGCAGGCCAAGATGTTAACGTCCATCCACGTCCAGTCTGCTGAGGGCGTTTCCGGTCTCGGGTCATGGACTGTCACTGACTCTCGAAGCAGCCAGAGCTCATTCATGGAGAGCCGTGTGGTCAGGGAATCCTCCAGCAAAGAAGTCGTCATCACAAAGCAGATTACTCGTGTGGTTAAAACTACAGAGCCAATCTCTGATGAGACAGCTACTTCAATAAAGCAGTTAAAAGACTCTGTTCACACTGATAAAATGAGATTCTTTGATGAAGCTGAGAAGTAAAATCAGTTATTCTTCAAAATAAGAATTCACTGTGTTATAAATTCCACTCTTATTTTGTCATCCCAAGCAAAATTATTGTCATGTCTTTGTAGTTATAAACATGAATAGGCCAATTGTTTTAGTTCCAGGGAAACTGTGTCCCTAATTTGATTTCAACATTTAAGTTTTAAAATCTATATTTGCACCTACCTCTTGCCTCGTCCCTCCAAATGCTCTCTTGTAGCTTCATGAGTTGAAAAAAGATTCTTTATGCCTTGGGATGAGAACAGTTGGTAAAAATAAAAATTTGATGTCTAAACTGTAAAAATCCTTAGATATTGTTCCTATTAAAAGTGTATTTAAACTGTTAATAAGCTTGTGTCCTTGCTAATTATGTCAGGGCTTTACCAACATATTTGCTTGAGAAAAAAGCCATGTACTTTGCTTATTGTTGATTAAATGTTGTCACCAGAAACTTGAGCAAAAACACAAAAATACAGATCATATTAATATATTGCAATGTTATCTACAGCATTATGGCTATGCAAACATTATTTTAGTGCAATAAATAATTCCTGTGTTGGTGTAGTTCACACCATGTTGGGGACGATTAAGAATGTATATGGAACAAATGTAAAACGAATACAATCAGTTATCAACCTCAGATTCCTCATAATGTTGCTTTATTTAGTCTTTGTCTCAGAGTCCCACCTTACATGAGACTCGCCCTTAGACACTTCTATTCCTTAAAATGTCATATTATTGATACACTGTGAGTTTGTAAGTGGACGTTTTTATATAATCAGCATAGAGTATAAATGTAGACAATCCTTCCTTACAATCAGCTAATTATTCATCTGAAAGAAATGCATTTTTTATTTTCATTTGGTCCTATATGACAATTGTAATTTCAAATATTGACACTTACCTGAATGTGAGTCTTCAAAGAGGCTGTTCACAACTGTAACAAAAACAAAAAAGTTAGTAACATTCCAAATAATGTTTACAATGGTAATGTCAAATAGCAGTAACTCTTTCACTGTCTGTCACAAAAACTATATTAGACTTATATAGCTAAAGATGTGGTGAAACTGTAAAGTAATAATAGCAAGGCTAAGCTACAAATGCAATGCTGCAACTATATTTTTAATATTTTGCTTAGAAACTACTGTGCTACACTAAACTATATGATTGTATGGTCACCTTTGTCAGCGATGTATAAAGTGGAAATGTGTAAATAGCTTTTAATGAGCTTTGTAGTTTTATTTAATTACAGCTACTGTTTCTATTCTGACTTTGAGCTTTAAAGAATGTGTTTGCTGAAATATACTATAAATAAATATTCATGTAAGACAGTTGTGTTCTGTGAATTTGCTGTTACTGTAGTAAACATGCTGTGTTGCTTTTGGCACATAGTTGAATGACTTCTTTTCCTAATAAATCCAAGAGTATTCAAATGATTTCCAAATTTAGATCAATCTTATCAAAATATGATTCTAACGATGGCTACGATACATTAAAACTAACAATCCAGCAATGTGACGTGTGTATATTTCAAGTTTCAAGTGTGAAATGTTACCTGGCTGTTCATCTTTTAAGACATTCTTCCCTTTACGGAAAAATATTTTACCATAACAAATACTTATTAGGCGACGTTGGTTGAAGAAACATTTACAGCCTAGTAAAATGAAAATATGGTTTGACTAGGGTGATCAGATTTTCAAAATAAAAAACTGAGACATCACTACTTTTTAGTAATTGGTAATAAAATTGTAAAACGAGTGCATAATTAAGAAAAATTGTTCTTCACTCAGCACTAATATGAGTCAGTATAGTCACATTTTCTTTGTGTTTTGGTCATTTTTAATCAGCTTTTCTGTATTTTACCTAAACAAATGACAGTTTATGTCTCTCTTTACTCTTGGCAGGAATCAGATTTGTCCAAAATAGGGACACCAGGGACATTTCTTGTATAAAACTGGGACAAATCACTGGTTTTGGATAAATCCGCTGGGACAGGGGACACAGGGCTCAAAACTGGGTCTGTCCCGGGTAAAACAGTAGGTTTCACTCATGATGGCTTCACTCCAAAACGTAAAAAATAAAGAGGTAGATTTCGCACACTAGAGGGAGACAAAACTTCATAATAACTACAGAACTTGTCACTCGTTATCTAAAGTGTCAAGTATTCTGCACTAAATTACTTACAACCCTTTAAATAACATATGCAGTTTGCTGTTTAATCCTTTGGATTCTTGGTTTAGCTTTGCAACTTTTTAATCCCTTTCTGATTGACGAAATTGACTCATTGCACTTTTTATTCCTAGAACATCCTAAAAATCGAATATATCTACAATTTAACGTACAATTTACTTTAAAAAACATGTTACTTAGTTGTTTTGTTCACGACGAAGCATGTGGATAAAAAAGTAGGCTAACACAGATTTAACATTACGATAGTTTGGCTAAAGGACGTGGCTACATTGAAAAGCTTTGAACACATTTCTTTAATATTTCAGGTTTCCACAACACTATACTTGCATATTATCGCTTTATATGTACGTGTTTTAGCAATATGCACATTAAATAACAGTTGACTAGGATTTATTTTAGAATTTTTAACGAAAACCAAGGCAAAAAGTAGATATCTTCAAGTATTAGCGCGCCTACCGGCTCCATTGCGCAGACGCAGAACACTTCCCCGGTGTGAGCGACAGCCACTTCTCACTTTCCCCAGCTCCTCTCTCTCTTCTCCGGGCTCCTCTCTCTCTTCTCCGGGCTCTTGTCGCTCCGTGCCCCGCCGCCTGGTTCACTCTCGCCCACAGGAGCAGAGCAGGCAGCAGCAGAGGCGCCGGGACTCCCACCTTTTCCATCTAGATCAGCGGAGTTTGTGATGAAGAAGCCGGAGACGGACACCTTTCACCGCCTGATCTGACGAGCTGGACAGGTACGGAGCTTTTGCGCTGAAAAAACACCACCAAGATGTAATTTTGTGGATTATGCAAAATTTTAGGCGAATTTTTGTAATGAATGCATACAAAAAAAGTTGACAAAGGCTTAGAAATTGCCTTTTACATTCACCCTAAACTCTAGAAATTTGGGTTAAACTATTTTTGAACAAGTAAGAAAAATGATGTTTTACGCAAAAACGAGTGCATATTATCACAGTTTCCATGCGGTCAGGGGCTCTCCAAAGCTAGACTATTCTTAAAATCGAATAATATGAGATATGAGAAATTGAAATTTGAAATTGAAATATGGAAAGATGCGGGATTTTTTGAATTAGTATTTTTTTTCTCTTTCTGTGCAGCAAATGAAAAAGGGTTTTGTTCACTGTTGTGGGATTTCAGTATTTTCAAATAGACTAGAGTTAGTAGAAAATAGTCTACTATTGCTTTCAGCCTAATTTTTCCTTTCATTGCAGTAATTTTGAAAAGGAAACCATTTTATTGCCTTCAGTTTTTATACAATGAACAACAGAAATTGAATAAGATTACAGACAATGCAAACCAATTTTACTCAAAAATTCATTTTTTTATATGTGCGCACTCTGTGACTGTAAAACTGTTGCTAAGCAAAGTAGTACAACAGGGATTATAGGATTAGATTATAGTATTTGAAACATTAAAAGCATGCAACATCCTGACAATAATACCAGATTAAAATATAGTGCAAGAACCAATATTATGCAACAAGAACGGAAAGAAATACAAAGCCAAAGTTACATATATATCTTGATATTTTGTAAAGAAAGAGTTAGGCATGTCTTAGTTGGCTGATGATTTTACATTTTACAAAACTTAGATTGAATTTCAGTTCTAAACCTCTTGATATGAATATAAATTCCATCAAACTGGATTTTGATACTAAGGACTAGATTTGATACTCAATATCCATACCACCTCAATACCACAATGATAATAAAAAACAATCTTTAGACAATAGAGTGTGCTATTCAACATTGTAGTACTTTCTTTTCTATTCCCATGTGGTGCTTGTACTTGTACTTGTACATGTACTTGCTGTGATACAAGGTTCGTTTCTGTCCTGTGAATGGGACTTTTATTGATACCTGCTCAAATGAGTATCTAGTTTCAATATCAGTTTAGTATCTTATTTTCAATGCTTTTGACAATGTGTGAAACAAAACACAGAATATCCTATCCATATATATGCAATTTATAAAACTTATACAATTTTAGAATTTGTTTGCTAGAATAAAAAGTTAAAAGTGAAATTCAAATATTTTTGTTGCATATACATTTTGACAAAATCATATAAAATTAACAAAAACTAAACTGAAATACAATGCTGAATCAAACTTTTACATTTTAAAGTTCCTACATGATGCAAAATGTTTGCAAAATTGACTCACACACATTAAAGTAATCCTGCATCTCCAAAACTCAAGCTCAAAATGCTCTGCTCCACCTTGTGATGTTATGAAGTGGTAGTTTTCACGTGAACAGCTCCTTTAACCTTTAGTTCAGTCGAGATTGGCAATTCCAGAGCTGAAATTATCCAAATGACTCCAGTGAAGGTGTATGGAGTTTAAAAACACAGTGGAGCACATCCTGTATTACCACCATATGACATCACAACGTGAAACCTTGTTTCCAGTTTGAGTGAAGAACTCAATCTAAAAATGCAGGATTTGTGTGTTAATTATGTGTGAATGAAACAAAACACAAGTCTGGTTGAGTTTTTGATGAGGACACATTAGAAGAGAGATCAGAACGTAGAGTATTATAATGTTTGAGGTCACACAGATTAGAACAGTAATAAAATTTGCAGCTCCAAACTAAAGCAGCACTTATAGGAGATCTAATGTATTTTAAATAGTGTGTGGGTCTGTGGGCAGAGAAAGCATTGAAAGTCCAGAGTGTGTAGGAGTATTACAAGGCTGTCTCACGCTGCCATGTCATCTATTACCTGGCTACCTGTTGTTCCTGCACAGTTATAGTTGACATTTATGAATTATACATCTGTTTTTCAAGCTTTTACCTCCAAAAAACCAGAAGTGGGTTTTAAAAATAGGCCAGGGAAAGCAATATAGGGCATGACAAACGGTACTAGACTCAGAAGTGGAGCAAGAATAGTGAAATGTTAAAGCTAAAAGTAGTGAAGTAGGGAAGGGGGAGTGAGGCGGAGGCTATATAAGGCTGTAAAATGATTGTTTTGAAAATAGTTTGGAGATTTG